TTTTCTAATGTTTATGCAAAATATTAGCATCATTGATGACATTTTATAATAGTTTTATTAATTGAAACCACTCCACTAAAAGATAACTTCTTCTGAAGTAACAGCTGAACGTCTGGAGCACCTGTAACTAGTATTTGCTTTTACTTAGCAGACCTGATTTAATTGCTAAGATGGGGCTGACAACCTTCTAAATGGTCTCCAATGGTATGGAGTGTCTGCTCTTGCCATCATCTGCATTGTAAACAGATCTTGACAATGTCAGGTTCCTGTCACAACCTATCAGTGTCACTCACTAAATAGTGGTGTGACCGTTAGTCCCTCGGAGATTTGCCTCCTCTATCAGGGTCAGCTTGTGGGAAAATTGCAACAACTAGTTACATGTCACCTAGCTATGAAGGATTGTAATATTTAAATATACTTTTACTATCTTAATACATGATGATTTAAAAGGAATTTTTTACAGGCCACTCTAATTGTGTATGTGATTATTTTTCATTCATTCTATCCACAGTTCATTAAAAAAGATAGTGTAGCTGTATCTTTTGGAATCTATGCCTTGTTGGGCTTAGTAAGGAATAAGAATGAATTAAATAATAAATGTAATTGTTTTAGGTAGAATTAGAATTGCTGGTACTCACATACACAAAATTAAAAATATTTTTTGCATTTCCTTTAAAGCAACACTGACAATCTTCTTTTCCCAAACATTTTAAATTTACTTTATTATCCGAAGTTGTTGCAAAATTTTTCATCTTTCTTCTTATTATGATTATTATCTCCAAATTTAATCATTAATTCTTTCCTTCAGAAATTTTTTCTTTGAAATTTTGTTTCAATCAATAATTTAAAGTTTCAGTTAATTTGTGAAAGATCATGTTAAATGTTGAACATTCACATTTCTTTCCATTTATTACAGTTTATTTATAAATCATTACTAAAATGTCATGTATCATGTAGCCATGTGTCTTGCAGGTTCTCTTAAATATGATTATGTGATAGGATAGTAAACAGAATTTCTCATTTATCTGATAAGAACAAAACTACCAGATACTCCTTATATTAAAGAAACTGCAAAATAATTGGTGCTTATTAACAGCATTTGAGCTAACATTGTTATCTTAAAATATCACTCCATACTCCAGGAACATGAGTGCCTTTTTTTTTTTTTTTTTTTTTTTTTTTTTTTTTTTTTGTCTTTTTGAGACAAGGTCTAGCTATGCAGTTCAGGCTGGCCTTGTACTTACTTCATAGCCCAGTCTGGTCTCAAACGCCTAAAGATCCTCCTGCCTCAGCCTCCCAAGTGCTGGGATTATAGGCGTGCGCCACGATGCCTGGCTAAACATGAATGTCTGAATGTCTTCTTCTGTCTATCAGAGGGTCCTACCACAGGGAGAGAAGATTTGAAGAGAGCACTTCAGTGAAGAGACAGTGTCTAATGAGTAGGTAATCTTTTTTGAGTGTACTTCATTGATCAGGTAAAGAGCTCTAACAGATTTACTCAAGGAGTGCAGATACCTATTCTTATTTCAGCGTTGGATTTTTACTTGGTGTGAACTGCTGATCTGTTATCTGTACATACTTAAGCAGTGGTCCAAGGAATTGGGGAGAAGTAGCAGGGTGGAGAAAGAAGACATCCTCAGACCAAGAGGATCTACCTGTACCAGAAGAAGGGCCTTAGTCTAGGGAAGCAGTGGGAGATTAGAGAGCTTAAAAGAGCTTGAGCTGGAGATTTCCACCGTCAGGGACTTGTGCACACAGAGGTTATACTCTAAGGCCCTCCTTAAAGGACCAGCCATTACTCCCAAAATGATGCTTAGCACTTTGGCACTTGCTACACGGAAGATGGCAGTGGCCCGTTAGGCATTGCCACGGAAGCTGGAATACAGAGAAAATGTAAGGAAGAAGCAACTGGGCAAACAGTTGTTAGTGCGTTTCAGGAAGAAGAGGAGGAATACAAGTTGGATGAAAAACTGAACAAAAACATTTGTATGGCTCCAGAAATGGCCGATACTAATGGCATGGGAAAGCAGGGATGAGTGTTAACTATACTGGATTCATTATACTCAAAATGTGTTCAAGAGCTTCAGGGACAGAAAAGGGAAACTTGACAAAAAATATTTGAAGACAGTAATTAGAGGAAAAATGGAGACAGTTTATATTTGTAACCCATCATTTCTGGCTAGTCAAAAATATGGTTGCTATTACAGCAGGGATGGGTCTCAAAATTTAGGAATATGTTTTTATGTTTAAAACCTGATTCATTACAGGCTATATTTTATAAAATATGGTGAAAATGTAAAATGGTGGCAAACCAGGGAAAATAGTCTCAGCCCCCAAGAAGAGTAAGATAGTACATTAGCATGTTTGCTTCATAAAGAACCTATAATTTTTTTAATATTGGGAAGGGGAGACTGCTAATACCTAGTCTCGACATGCTTGAATTTCTGTTACACTGTATCTTGATACCTTCGTTGGTCTCTGAGGATAATTTTGTTTGTCTTACAATGATCTGTGTGCTCTGCTGTTCACAGTTCAGATCTACTCTCACTCATATGATTCTCTGGCCAGTGTTTCTCTACTCCCTGTGTTAGGGCTAGGTCTGAGTCTCAGAGTCCCACCTCCTAGTGTTAAAATATGATCATATGTTCTAATTATCAGGTGAATTACATCTCTCCAAGAACTCATGATTACTTTCCTTAACCCTCCACCATTTTATATTTTTTACCATCAGTTCAGTTTGATATACCTGCTTTAACACTCTATTACAGATTATATTCTTTGATGATATTAGGGCCTTCTCAGATTTAGCTCTTTTTTCTACTGCAAAGTCAAAGAATCTGTGGTGCTACAAGAATTGAAGAGGTTTTATTTATCTGTTCTTTTCCAAGTCCTTGTACCAATATTAGCAAGTTTCTTCTTTATTCAATCTACTGCTATGCTTTGCAGTCATGCAGTCATTATACTAAACAATCTTAAAAGGATATATATACATATATATGTATATATATATGCTTAAATCAAAGTACTTGAAATTACAGATTTAACAATGTTATGGACATGTCTTTTTTTGAATGGTCTATTTACATTTCTTGGTTATTCATGCTAATAAAGGAGAAAGATATTATAAATAATGCAAAAAACACAGCTGACTTGGATACATATTGTATATTTTTCATCAGACTTAGTTTCTTAATTGTTTGCTCTATATGTTATCCAAATGAGCTAACATCATGAGTATTTAACAAATGATGATTAGTAGAGATGTCTGGGAACTTTTTAATATAGTAAGCAATCTAATCCATTCTTAGAAACTTGCTGTGGAAAATTCATGTGTGGGCAATTGATATTTATCTATACAAAAGGACAGAAATCTTGATACAGGAGAGAAATGAAATAAGTAGCATTTTCTCTATCAACAGTGTTCAGAATTATTAGAGTTTCAGCATCATATTTTATATCTTAAATTTACATATCAAACTTCACATATTTTATAGATGACATATGTAATAAAAATGTTTGCATGTACTTTGATAAGGTCAGTGTAAAATGTCTAAAATCATCTATCATAATATTATTTAGACAGTATACATTTGAAAAATTCACAAATGTGTAGTTTTTTGATATTTGGCTGGTAGTAGTATACAAAAAATTATGAGTAGAAAAGTTAAGTTTATAAATTGGTAAATTATTATCCTAGTATAGGAGCAGACTACAGAAATTTCTTTTATGTGAATCATTTCTGTATGAAGCTATAAACTTTTTTTACCCAAAGGCTGTCATGGTTTCTTATAAAATAATAAAGATAATAAAGATATCCACTTTAATTGATTTTTTCATTGTTTAATAAAATTGCTTTGTTTGATTGCTGAAGAATTCGAATGGAGTTTTCATTACCCACTTCTGAACAATTTACTCTAAGATCCAGACAGTATTGAGCTAATGAGTTTGAATTTATATTGAAGCTTAACTGTCTTCATGAAGTAAATGGGAAAAAATCATGGCAGTACCTAAGTTTTCTTCATTAAAATCTATGTCACAGGCATTTTGCAATGAGGCTTTTAGTGGAACTAAAGCACTAAATTGGAGTTTTACCAACTTTGCTATTTTCATGCCAATTCTGTAAAAGTATGGTTTCTTCCTTCTCCTCCTCCTCCTCCTTATTTTTCTTCTAATTCTTAGGGAAAAAGGAAAATATAAGCTAACAGGGATATTATAAAACTTTTTAAACGGATGGTTTTTGTATTCAACAGCTTCTACTGCAGACTAAATTAATGTTGATTTAACTTAATTTGAGGACATATCTAAACTGAAATGATCTATAAACATTTTCTGAGAAGTATCCCACTAAAGTGTTTCAGGATCTAGTTAATTCCAAGACATTGCCACCAATATTAAAAAGAACACAAGCCCACAAATGGATGATTTTGACTACTATTATTTGTCATAATGATAAATTAGTTTCTCTTAATTTGGAAATACATGCATTTATTTATATACTTTGCATATTTTGCTTTGACATTACATTTCATAACATGATCTTTTGTGTTGGTACAGTGTCTGACCAAATAGGCATGTAACGATTTCATTTTTAGCATTTGCGGTAGAGTTAAATAAACCCTTTACGTGATGACTACCATACAATGGGTTACAAGCACAATTTTGCATTTTATAACCATCAGTATATTTCGGTTCCAAGAAGCCATATTCTAATTATGTAACATAGCCCATCTAACATTACCCTGGGGAGTCAAACACAGTCGGACTCCACAAGTCGGTTAAATGTTACAGAAATATTCTTTGTCAAACACTTGAGATCTTATCTAAGAAATAAACCAAAAGAAAATGCAGCTTAAGGGAAATTTACTTCCTTCATCTCATTTCCCTAGAAATCTGTTTGTCAATATCCAAGTGTGGTATATTTTTTAAAACCTCATTTCAAGTTAGTTATCGGAAGATTTGGGATAATACTGTATCCAAGTAATTTATATTCATTCCCACAGGGAGCAGTGATGGTTCTTGGGATAAGGAAACACTGCATTCTGCCCCACCTCAGGGATCTCAGGCCACTGTTACCCACCCCCGCATGCCCGGAGCGCATAGCCTTCCAGTTAGTCATCCTCTCAACCATCTCCGGCACAGGCACCTGCTGCCAAATGGTACGATGGCATTTTTTTAGCACTAAAAATGATAGTTTTCAAAACTTTCTTTTTTTATTGTCAGACAGTAAAATAGAACCTAATACATCGATGTACTACATTGAGACAACTAATCATGATAAGTTAAAACGCTAGTATTTTAAACCAGAATTTAGACTAATCAGAGGAATGATATAGTGAAGAATTGATCATATGGTTTAAAAACAAGCAGAATGGGGGTACGATAAACCATGGCAACAGTTAGCTGTAGGTTTAATTTCCCTAAGTGGTGAGTGGGTGTTATTGCATACAAAGAGGAAGAATATTTTTTGACTGCCATTATTTAAATATTTTTGTTGTTTAAATTTTTAATGATTTATGTCCATAATTTTAATAAGTGATATATACCATATTTTGCAGTTTCACTTGGAACAGAGTAACGATGCTTTATGTGTATTTTTTATAGGACTGGAACTTCCTTTTATGATGATGCCCCACCCTCTAATTCCTGTCAGCCTACCTCCAGCATCTGTCACCATGGCAATGAGCCAAATGAACCACCTCAGCACCATTGCAAATATGGCGGCAGCAGCACAAGTTCAGACTCCTCCCTCCAGAGTTGAGACATCTGTTATTAAGGTGATTGTTTCTCTCAATGTGAGAATCCATTTTTCTTATTTTATAAGTAAACCTCAGTTCTAAAATGTGATGATAAATAGATTATGAGAAAAATCACCTACACTATATAGCCCCAGAGGTAATATTTAGACAGGCTAAGGTTATTTCAAGTTATCTCAGAAGAAGTAACATAGAACATTCAATGATATAACTAAAACTGTATGTTCTTACATGTAATGTGTGCATATATGTGTATGTGTGTATTTCTGTGCATGGTGTTAGGAGCTTTTAGGTATGAAACATCAGACAGGGGCTGGGGATTTAGCTCAGCGGCAAAGCGCCTGCCTGGCAAGCGCAAGGTCGTGAGTTCCGTTCCCGGTACCGGAGAAAAACCAAAAAAAAAAGAAACATCAGACAGTCATAATAGTTAAATTCCGCAGCTTATGAGTTGTGTCACTGTGGGCATATAATTCAAGTCTTTCTGATTGTGTATAGCATCTGAAAAATGGGTGATATGTTGTGGATATAAAACCTATATGAAATAATAAGACTGAGATTTTGTAAATTTAGAAATATAAATGGAAAGTAATATTATTGCTATACAAATGTCATATATGACTATATGTACATTTTTATATATGGACAGAGTGCAGTGTTTCCATATGTATGTGTGTGTGTATATATATATAATTCCATATATGTATCTATATCTATAAACCTATTTATATTATATATGTATGTATAGATATATAATTTTCCCTCCTTTCTCTCCTTCTTTCTCTCATATGTATACATTTAATTGTGCATGTGTACTCTGACACACACATATTATATATATATATATAAAATGCTCATTTTATTTTATAATGTTTATTTAAATGATTTTAACTGCCATTGCCAGATTGAGAAGTAAGAAATAACAAAAAAGACAGTTAAAAATAAGTTATCAGATTTTAAACTGAGTAAAAGATACTTCATCTGGCATAAACATTATCTTCTTTTCCTGAATATAATACCCTTGAACCCAGGTTAGTAAATGTAACTTGTCTTGCATGAAAGTTCCAGGTATTACTCACATAGAATGCAAATTTATATATATATATATATAAGAAATTTCTTTTATAATAACGGCTCTGTAAACAAAGATGTTCTATCATATCTTCTATCACTTTCTGAAGTATAATTACCAGAGGAAAAAAAACTAACAAAAAATAACAAAACACAATGAAGAAGACCAAGATATACTACTAAAAGACCTCTACCTGAGAGAATGCCAGTGAGAGCCACGTTGTTATCAGCCAAACAACTGATAAGGAAAGATTTTAGAACTCATTTGTATTCTAAATGACTTTAAGAGGGTTCCATTGTTACCAGATGATTTGTTATTCAAGGTATCATTGCGTTATTCAATTTATGATAATTTTCACTAATTGTTATTCCTGAGAATTAAATACTCTTATCTACCTCACTCATTGAAGTTAACCAGAAGGAGGTTTCATCTAAGAAAAAAAAAAAAAAAAACTCCTAAGTGTTCCTGTCACTGTGGTTAATGAGTACTTTAACAAAATTTTAACAAATATTAAGTAGTAATCATGAGACGTGATTATTCACATTTTAAGAATTGCTAATAACTATGATAAAGAATCGTCTCATAATGTTATATACTTTTCACATTCAAAACTTTGTTGTAATTTCTAATTTAGATAAACTTTATCTTAAGAGATAAAGTAAAATTATAACACAAAATAGGATTTTAGTAGTTTCAAATCATAATGGGTGTCTGAGTTGTGACCTCTACATAATTTGTACATGAAATGATAACTTCCATGCTCTTGGTTCAAAATCCCCAGGTACACTGAGAGAATTGATTTATTATATGTATATATATATATAAAATTATTATTTATA